TTAGCTTCCCAAAAATTATTTTATGTTTTTTCAAAAATAACCATGTTTTTAAACTTAATACAGCGATTTCTCAATTACCTGTTAATGGATTTGAGTAGATAATGTCATTTTCGTGTTCTACATTAAATTTTGAACAAGAATAATAGAAAATGACGAAGGATCAGTTGTAAAAACTCCATTGTAAATAGATTCAAAGATAAAAATTAAGATGTTTGATAACAATTTTAGAGACAATGGTCTATTGCATTTTTCACACCCTGTATACAAGAAAGTGTCGGAATATGTTAAAAACTGCGCCATTTTATAAGCTTTCCAACCATATGCTACACTATTGAGGTTTATGTCTGCTTATGTACGCTTTAATGGTTTGAAGACTACAAAGCATGGTGTCTTTAACATTTAAAACATAGAAAGTCGGCATGTATTAAGCAAAAGTTGTATTTTCGATTCAGCTTGAACAGTAAAAACAGTAAAAAAGTTCCCTGTTTTCTGGTATTCAAACCACTAAAACAAACAAAAAAATATCTAAACCTCAATAGTGTAGCATATGGTTGGAAAGCTTATAAAATGGCGCAGTTTTTAACATATTCCGACACTTTCTTGTATACAGGGTGTGAAAAATGCAATAGACCATTGTTTTTAAAATTTTTATCAAATATCTTAATTTTTATCTTTGAATCTATTTACAATGGAGTTTTTACAACTGATCCTCCGTAATTTTCCATTATTCTTGTTCTAAATTTAATGTAGAACACGAAAATGACATTATCTACTCAAATCCATATACAGGTAATTGAGAAATCGCTGTATTAAGTTTAAAAGCATGGTTATTTTTGAAAAACATAAAATAATTTTTTGGGACGTTTATTTTGAGACTTGGAACATTTGATATGCATAATCACACTTCATTTACCTTGTACTTACATCAAAAAAATTTTGTCACACTGAGTACAAATCGCCCTGTATAAAGAGCGTTTCAAAATTTACTGTATATTGCTACCCATAAAACTATTTGAATGCAAATTTGCTTGTCTTCGGGTATTACAACCAAACGGTAAAGCACACACCTTAAACTGTATTTCAACAAGAGGGTAAAAATGCAATTGACATCAGCACGAAACTGTTCAAACAGTCTTATAATTAACATACTTTTTAGTATATTTATTGTCCCACCTTAACATCCTAGGACGCTAGTTCTAGCCCGGAACTGCTTTACACAAAATTACTTCAGGCTAGTCCTAGAGGGTCGCGGCATTATCACATGGATAAAACCAATTGGTGGGATTTGAACCCGGTACCTTGGTCACCGAAGCCCTGAGTTCTACCACTAGATCAGCTCGCTCCCCGTAGTTTACAGATTTAAAGGATCATAATTCTAATGGCCATATTAAAGTCAATTGTAAGTCAAAGTAATTAAACGTAGATGATGTTTTTTTTTTCAGGGACGACCGTTTTTTTTATAGTAAGCCTTTAAGCCACTCTTATTATCATAACCTCCACAAGTTTATAAATAATGAAAACACATCTAACATCTAACACACATCTAATTGGATTTAATACGTACGTAGAACATTAACATGTGTAAACATTCGAGGCAGCTATCCAACCTAGGTGTGTATCTATATAAATAAAATTTAGTTTAAAATTTAGTCATATGAATGCAAAATTAGTGTAGAATAAAGTGAACGATAATTATACAGGTCGTCAAGTGGTCGAAAACTCGACCAAAAATATTTAATGTACAGACTTCTCTAATTTCACCCTACGCTGTAAATAAAACACGTGATTGGAATTTATTGTATTTGTTTTGATTTTCTGTTTATATTGCTTTGGTATTTCGTCACCAGCATGACACACCCATAAAGTCCATGTTATTTTTTTTATTTTAAATTCATTTTTTGTGTTAATGTTTTAGCCTATTTTAATTTATGAAGGAATTCTGCACATCTACAGGAAAATATATTTCCAGCAGTATGCGTAAACTTCCTCTGCGATGTACACGAGCTGAGAAAAGGTTTTAAATAAACATGCTTGCTATTGCCTATTCATATATAGATGACCTGTGTAGTTTTTTATACTGACTAAGATCAATTGTTACCTTATCCATAAACAATTTGTTTAACCCCAGAGATCAAGGCCGTCTGGGTCCATTTGTCATGTACTCTGTCTATTTGTCCTTCCATTGAGCCTACTGCTGACAATCATCCCGACCCTGAGCAAAGAACGAGGTAGACAAACAAAATTATTTTAAGAAACCTGGGGCCTACACCTAAATGTTGAATTAAAATATCGCTAATAACAAAGTGTTGCTCAATAGGAATGTTTGCGGCCTAGTGACCTTAGTTTGTCGTGTTGAGCCACAGACTTAGCCCCTGGCTAAACACACACTCAAGCAAGACCTCTCCATCTCCCTCACTCGTATTGCTCAACTACGGCTCTAATGTCCACATGGCGTGTATCCTCTAGTGTCACAGCTGTGTTTATGATTCATACGAAACTATTCGCTCTAGATACGTCGGTGCATCAACATTATATCACATCCTGTCATCTAGTACGGATACTTGTTAATTGTGTGGTACCTTTGTACTCTAAAACAAATTATAATAGACTAGAGCTCGTCCCGTGGTCGAAAACTCGACCAAAAGTATGTATTGTGCTCTATTTTCACCCCACAGTGTAAATAAAACATGTTTGGAACTTCTTCCATTTGTTTTGATTTTCTGTTTGTATTTGTTGTTATTTTGTCACCAGCATGGCAACCCATAAGGCCCATGTTAGTTTTTTTATATTTAAATTCATTTTTTGTGCTTATTTTCGAGCCTATTTTAATTTATAAAGGGGTCCTGCACATCTACAGGCAAATATATTTCCAACAGTATGCGTAGATTTTCTGAGCTGAGAAAAAAGGTTTTCAAGAAACATGCTTGTCAGTTAATATATAGAATTAGCCCAAAGTTAAATCTCCATAAGAAATATTGAATCTAAATTGTTGACCTAATTAACATAAATATTTTCAAAATACAAATAAAACCTGCACGTATAGGACCGATAACCTTTCTTTTGGCCTGAGTGTAAATCGGCTTAAAAATTTGGCCCCATGGTAAATCTACATAAGAAAAGTTAAATTTCCATTTTTTACCCAATTAACATAGATATTTTCAAAACCTAAATAAAAGCTGCATACATAATAGAACCGATAACCTTTCTTTGGGTACCAACCGCGTGTAATTCGGTCCAGTGGTATGGTCAGGCTAGCTGTCATAAGCTTAAAATGTTTGCCCTATGTTAAATCTCCACAAGAAAAGTTTATTTTATATTAGTTCCTAGAGGTCGCCCAGTGGACGAAAACTCGACCAAAAATAGGAAATGTACATACCTCTCTATTTTCACCCCACTCTGTAAATAAAACACGTGATTGGAATTTGTTCAGATTTTCTGTTTATATTTTGTCACCAGTATGGCAACCCATAAGGCCCTTGTACATTTTTTTAAAGTTTCAAATTCATTTTTTGTACTTTTTTGCATAATTTAATTTATTAAGGGACTCTGCACATCTAGAGGAATAGTATATTTCATTAGTAGGACCTAAAGGGGCATTTTCCGACTCAAGTTTCATGTGTGAGGCAAAGCCGCATACAGGAAACCCAAATTTCACGTGCGAGGCAAAGCCGAGCAGGTGAGAGGTATTTTCACGTACGAGGTGAAGCCGAGGACGGGAAAATGGAGCAAGTGTCGGAAAAAAAACTTTTGGTACGAGTTATGAACGATTCTTTTCATCACGACGCAAAAATACACACATGCAGAATAACATATCTCAGTAATATTAAAATAGTTAATACCACTTTTTATCATTGAAAATACACTTCACAACGTATAGTTTCATATTTGTAAATTATTTAGATACTTCGTCACTTACATTAATTAACTTAACATTTTGTAAATTGTACCAGTGTCTAAGATTTCTGTATTCCTCTTCTTATCTTTCCCGTGATTTATCCGGTGAAAGGTGAAGCTGTTAGACATACTTTGAGCAATTTCAAACATGCACTATGTTAAAAACAAAGCAAAACAAAACTAATGCCTGTTTCTGTATAGATTTAGATTTAGCAACAATAAGCGCAGCTGATTCTAATTATTAAATTAAACCTAACAAAACACTAGCGCGCGTAGTGAGTAAATTGAGAACTAATCGAGAGCGAGGGATTGTAAATTTAGAGCGAAGGAAAATCAGCTGATCGATTTTCCCTCGCCCTAAATTAGAGCTTGGGAAACGAATACTTTCATTGATGTCAGCAGTTATCGAATAGTTACTTTCGTTCCGGAGTAATGAAAAATATCTTTCATTTGGTACCAACCGCGTGTAATTCGGTCCAGTAGTATGGTCAGGCTAGCTGTCATAAGTTTTGCAAAAGTTGTTAAATATACAAGATTTGAGGTCCTAACATGTTAGTAGACTTGAGTGATGATTCCATGGGGTGACTCAAGGAGCCAAAGCATGTCCAATATTAAAGACGTAGATGAATACCTTTTAGAAGAATGTACATAATTCATATCTGTTGAAGAACATAAAATAGTATATGTATTCTGCAAAAGAAAGAATATAAAGGAATCCAGCAGTGAGTAGTCCTAAAAGTATGGATGATTTCTTCTGATCAATCATTTTGAAATACGTATATAGCCAACAGCAGAAATGTAAACAAAATAATCAAATGCAAAAAGTCATGTTACTTAAAAAAAATCACTTAAAAACACTCTTGACCCGTGAAAATTAAATTTTCAGGAGTTCAATTATCCAAATACAATACTATTATACAGGCCGTAATTTTTCAGGAAAAAACAAGAATGTGCACACACGTTTTTATTAATATGCTTTTGAAATGAAATGAATGTCAATAAATATTTGTTTATACATTCCTAACTTAAAAGATTGATATATTATTAAGAATTAAATTTACAATATTTTTAACACTAAACTAAAGCGTTTAAACAAATGTGTTTCTTTTGTTGTTGTAATTGAAAACAAGTTGTATGAAAAAGATACAAAACTTACATGTTTAATTTATCACAGATCCAGAGTTTACAATAATTCTACAATTACAATTCTAAATTTTAAATTCCACCATTTCACTTACTTAACTAAATAAGGTTATGTTTAGTTTGCAAAACAACAACTTATCACAATCGTGGATGATAAAATAAACTTTAAACATACTTAGTTACTTATTGAATGTAAAGAAAGCTTTTGTAGTGAACACTACAGTACCATTAACTTAAAGCTACTCTTAATAAAGTTATCTTTGATTTTAAAGTTTACAATTAAATTTTAATTCTACACCTACAGTCTGTTTTTCTTCTTGATGTTTCTCATTTCATTTGACTATTCTCAAATTTAGTATTTACCATAAATTTATCATGTATTACTTATAAAACAATATATACATGTATTTACAAGATTGCTTCAGACGTATATACAAGATGTACTTGAACAATACAAAAAGTTATGAAAATTTAAAAAATCGACAGTCCCGGAGTAGATCCTTGAGGAACGCCACACTTGGTTGAAGGCTTGACTAAGCCTTGGCTTTACCTCTCCGAGCTTTGATGTCAACCAAGCGAGGGTTGATGACGTCATCATCGTACGGTAGTGGTCCGGGGGGAGGCGGTCGAGGGTAGAACGGCTCGTCCGGGAAAGGGCGGCCCTGAAAAACAATTAGTATTAAATTAAAAGCTGACTCTATTAAACAATTATACTGTTAGCGAATTTTCCATGTGGAATTTCTGTCTTTAATTACAATAGTCATAAATGAATCGTAAATCGATGCCGCGTATTTAGGCTAGGCGGCGTCGGCTGGTATCGTCTGCTTAGGTCTCACTCGTGCAATGATCTACACATTTAGTGATTTCTATTGAGTGGCTAGTTACATTAGTATCGCAACTGATTACAATGGAGAATATTTTGTACATATCAAAATACGATCCGAAATAGAAAAACATGTTTTACTTTTCGAACAATACCCGACTTGTAATCGTTTATAAAACAAAAAAACTACTGCTCAAACCAATACAAAATTTGTGAAATATTAATTTTTCTACTAGGCCTATATATATGTGAGTTTAAGTTTTCACAACATTGTTTGTTAAGACTAAACATCTTCAAATAAAGCAAATAAATTTTTTATTGTTGTTTTTTCCATAGTTTTTTCCTACAGTTACCTAACAATGTACATGTTCTCTCACTGATTTGAGAAAGCAAAGTGGCCAATTCGCTCATCAGTGAGACAATGTTAACTTTGTCTCACTCTAATTACCTTGTCTCACCCCAGATTTGCAACGTGAAGGCACGAAATAGTGAGCGCGTAACATGCAGGCAACGTCTTATGCGCCCGAAATACGTTGGCAGCACTGGTTGTAAATCAGCTGGTCAGCTGTTGTACTGTTGTATTTATCACTTCACATTAAATTTTATATTAAAAGTTCACTTCTGTGTAAAAACAGGTTATGTTTCTTCACCAATTTATTTGTTTTATGGTAACTGTAGGAAAAGTATAATGTGCAACTCGAGTTCAAAGTACAATTGCCTCACTCGAGAAACCATTCCTCACTCGCCTACGGCTCGTGAGTAAGGATTTCTCTCGAGTGAGTCAATTGCTCACTTTTCTCACTAGTTGCACAAATAACTATTACTTGTTTGTTTTTATTTTTGTAAAACTTTTTTGTTAAGGACTGGGTAAAGAATTTCATCATTAAGCTGCAGCAACAACAGCTGTTTTCAAAAGGTACTGTACTTAGGTTGAGGGGCTAAATCAGTCCTATATTTCCTTCCTAGGAATAAAAGAGGCCCAATTCACACCGAACGGACGTCGGGCGGAGACGTGGCACGGACGTGGCGACGACATATGTCCGTTCCTCGCCTCCCCATGTAAACAAATTGGTCAATGCACACACAAGTGACGTGGCGCGGGCGGCCGCCCTCCCGTCTCCGCCACGTCGCTTCGGCGTCCCTCGTGGCGTATCGGAAGTGGCATGTCCGTAGCGCGCCCGTTGTTCGGTCTGCAAATATGTACTGTACTTACCAACCTTCTTGTGTATAGTGTGCTTGTACTTACCAACCTTGTTGTGTAGAGTTGTTTTTGTGTGTAGATTGTGAGTTGTTTCTTCACTATGCGAGACGAGATTGAATTTAATATCAAATTTTGTGAGGAAGTAGAACAATTCCCTTGTTTGTACTAATTAAGTTGACAGAAATTAACTAACACCATTGACATTATTAGATATAAGCAAAAACCCAAGCTTCTAGTCTACATACAGGTTGTATGTATCGCCACTGTACCGTCCCTACGGTGTGCATTGAACATGCCACGTCACTGCCACGTCTGTGCCTCGTCCGTGCCACGTTTCCGCCCGACGTCCGTTCGGTGTGAATTGGGCCAATGTTGAGGATATTAGCTGTATATTTTAATAGCTATTGCTATACAAGTCGTCCGCTGGTTTTGCTGAAGAAAATAGTCCTTATTAGCAAATATACTATTTTTTATCAAAATTTGCTAGTTTTTATCATTGTCTTATATTTTACAACTAAAATACCCCTTTATCGATATGTAGGAAATTTAAAATGTAAAAGAATTCAATTATGACATATGAATTTATAATTGTGTTGGCTGAGTAATACCATAGATAAAACATACTCCCGTAGGAAGTATGTTTTATCTATGGTGGTAATACACACATACATATATTTAACAGTGTAACAAATTGTCCGCTTTAGTAGAAAAACGAGAATAAAATCATTTACGAAATTTATGTTTTATTAATTATTTAACTTAAATTATGGTGCTGTGTGGTGAAAAATATAGTTCATCTTAACGGGCGAAAAGTGTATTCTGAAGATGGCTGGGAAATGTTTAGTAATCTATTGTGAATGATTTTTAGGCATAAGTAGTGTTTTAGGCGCTTATTAAATAAATGATTATCATCTTAAAATTCCATTATGAGGGAAACAATATGTATACAACAATATGTAATATGGTTAAATGCTTAATTTTGAGGAAAGGGGGGGGGGTGCTTGCAATTATGCTCCAGGGCACTTTAAACCTGGCTACGCCACTGGTAAACTTTAAATGAGGAACATTCCCTTGTTTTCAAAGAGGGTTAAAAATAAGTAAATAGTTTTTTGTAAATGGCCGCCATTTTCCAATATGGCAGTCAACTTAGTTTTTATTATGGAATACCATGTATTTTATGAGGTTTCGAATAGTAAATGAAAATATAAGACTTTTTTATTCTTGAGTAAATTTTGATATACTCAAACTGCAAAAATGATCCGATTTTGATTAAATTTGGTATAAACGTGTAAACCTACATATATTCAGACGAGTTCGCGAACCAGCATGATCGGACTATAGGAACCGGGGTTTATGGGTGTTTAATAGGGTAAAAATTGGTTTTTCCAATTTTTTACCCTAAAAACATACAAATTTGCAATTTCTTTTCAAACCATTTTTTAGAGCTTAAAAAAACAAATAATTTTGTATATTAAAGCTTTAATATGCACCTAATAGCTACGGAGAAAAAAAATTAAATTCCCATGTTATTCTTATAGAGAATGCGTAAACGGTTGTATTTTGCTTGTTTATGAACATATTTTGATTAAATTTCGAAAATGTATTAATTTCCAATGACAATTCGCGTAGTCTGCAGGTTTGCTGCAGCGCGGGTATTAAGGAAATATTTCAGATAAAATATAATCCGGCATAAATTGTTGAGCATTTGTACCTGTAAAAGTTCAAGCAAATTACCAACTGTTCAACTCATGGCTTGACATATATCGATGGGCTTTACGTCCACATGGCGTCGTTAATTGGCGCAATACGTTCACCCTGACAGTTTAATCGCGAGCTGTATGTTTCATTGCTGATCCCGTATCATATGGTGGCAAGTACTAGTGATGTTGGGTATATATGTGTCGGTGTTGGTGATGATGTTGGTAGCGGTCATCGCTCCACTACCCGAAGACTCTCCAGGGAAAACTCTCGAAAGATTTGTAGGCAATGAATACGTAGCAAGATACGTTGCGAAGGACAAAAATTACAAAGCAATTTTGAAGAGTTGGAGAGTCTCAGATCTACAGATAAATTTTTTGGAAAACTTCTTGATCCATACTTTTCGGCTGTCTGAAATCGATGGCGTCCTTCATATCGATGTCAACATTTGTTTCAACCAATTCTTTTTCTTGAACAAGAGCTTGGAGGATTGGACACGATTACACGAGCCGGTATACTACGAGCGCGATGCGAAGGAAAACCCGAGCAAGGGTATCAGGGTTATCACTTCTTTCGAGGTAAACGATAACATACTGAAATACAAGAGGATAGGATTATACTACATAAACTTATTTGAATTAATATATGAATTTGTGGTGTCTGCAGAATTTTCAAACGAGCAAGTGATATTGAACGTGGTTTTAAAGGTTTTCTTTGACAACAAGGGCGAGCGGACAAACAAGGAAACCCAGAGCACGCTGATATTGCCAAGGAAGAAGGAAGGTAAATGCTGAGTTGGATACAGGATATTACCAATAAACGGATTTTGTTTCATTTGTACGTATATTTTTCACATACCTGTAGAGCACTTACTTTAGTGTGGATAATTACATTTTACGGTGTGCCTTAAATAATATCCAGCTGTTGGCCCGTCCTACTTACGGGAATCGAGTAGTCAATTAAAACGGAATATAATGTTATTCGTTTTGAAATAAAGCCTGTAAATACTTTTAACTGCCCGATTTCGAGCAACAGGTGCACCACACCTGCCGGCGCGAATCACGTGATCTTTTCGTTTCTGCGCAGGTTGTTTTGTTCTTGGGATGTCTATAGTACTCTATAACAAGCGCGGTACGTACGGGCAAACTTTTTTTCGTCCGAGGATTTTTAATTTCTTTGTTTAATATGGGGTATTTGGCCACGAGAAATCGATTGAAGTAGGTCACAGGGCTGGGAAAATCCAGCTTCCGTCCTACAGGCCTTGAAAGTGCCCATGTTATCGTAAATGCGTTTTTGTAGCTGAAGTTAACAAAAACAGCTTATACAGGTTATTTTTATTGCCAAATCATTTGATTTTACGTGTTTACAAAAAATAACCGTATTGGTTAGATTGGAGCAAACGTTTTAATGAATAGTTATCAATGGCAAGTCTATTTATTTTATACTAAGCTATTAATGTTTTACTAAAAAACACACTTTATTACCCTCCCAGTCGCAGCAAACCTAGGTACTCGTTAAACCTAATGATTTACTGGATTTTGACTTTAGTCAGAGTTTCTAAGGATATTCCAATAACTAAACCAGCACCTAAAAATTATTAGCTCACAGCTTTTCTAAGTAAATTGGAGAGATTTGTTGGGCTGCAAACCTGAAGGTCGCTAGTTCAAACCTATTTGTTAGTGAGCTCTCAAAATTAAAGATCTAACGGGGTAAAAAAGTATCAACACAAGGGTTTCGACGATTTCTTCTGAAAAAAACTGCTTATAGCGTTAAAATTACGCAAAATAATCCAAATCCCCATTTATGGTCTCGTTGGTAGTACAAATAACATACCAGAGGGCCTGGAAAATCGGGCCTCAGCTTATCGATGGGGCCCCCGGGGCCCGCCAAAACCGCAGGGCCCGCTTCCTTGTTCCCAAAGGCCCCAGGACCTCCTGACCCTTGGTACACTCCAAATCCGGGGTTGTTGTAGCAGCAGTAGGACTTTCCTACGTCACAGCTTCCCTGAGGACCAAAAAATCTAGGATGAGTAAGGAATAAGATAACAATTATCACTGCAAAACGATCACTTACTTAGGGCTATTCTATTAAGATGTTTACTTGTGGTTCTTAAAATAAGGTGTAAGTCTTAAGTGTATGGTGTGCCTGATGAAACCTACACTATGACTTCTTGGCACCGCTAGAGAATTTAGAGCTATAAAACCTCTTGTTGTATTGAATTTTAACAAAATTAAATGTCTTAAACTTCTTGGTATTTCTGTGAGAGCCACATCAAATTGATAAAAACGCACACTGCACACGATCACTCGTGGGTCACCTTTGCCACCTCGTAGCATAAGCGAAACGTCTTGCATTGTCGGTTTTGTAAATTTGACACGGCTCTCACCGGAAAAGCAACAATAGAGGATTTTTTTTTTAAATATTATCTTAACTTATTTCAAAATTTTCAAAATATTCAATCACTTCGTTCCTTTTTACTTTTCCTTTTACTCTATTTATTGAGTTAGCAACAATATATAGTAACTACAACGATTGGTAGGTAACTAGTGCACCTGTTGCTCAAGTTCGAGCAATTGCAAAGTATTACAGGCGTTCAAAACTAATAACAGTCGTAATTTCCGATGAATTAAAAGAGTCAACTCAAAGATTATGTAATCAATCACTCCACTCCAGTTATCGAAACTAGAAACGAACTCACTCTGAAAACGAAAGCTCTTGTGTGTATCATGTGTTTACTATGAACAGCTGTAATCAACACAAATAATTCGTCAAGTAAACAAAATCTTTTCTTCATAAGAAATACATTGGGATTTTGATGGCCTGTGGGGCAAAGCCCGAGGACTTTTATTCCATGAATTGGTGCAAGGGGGTGTATTCACAAAAAATACTTCATTTTGACACATCGTTTGTAAAAATCCGTTCATTATTAACGGAGGAGTAGTTTTTCTTAGAAATCACCTTCACGTACTATATAAGGATTATAGTATAGTTAACAACGAATTATAGCTCAAATGGAAAACTTACAAACTGAAGACCTGGAGATTTGCAGTTGAAGGAGTTGACACACTTGCATGTGTCGAAGCTGGTAGGATCGCCGTTCTTGGGAGGTGGCGGACGCTCCCAGGAGGGTACAGGACCAGTTAGTACAGGGGTGCCTGGGGGTGGCGGACCTGGGGGCAGCTTGGGAGGTAGTTTTGGAGGCAGTGGAGGCGGCGGAGGCGGCAGACCAGGCCTGGGTCCAGGGTACTGGGTAGGAGGTCGTATAGGAGGCCGGTGAGGCAACTCGTTGGGTCCTCCTGGACCATTACCACCCTCAAATATCTCGTAACGTCCAAACTCACCCGGGTCGTCACTAAAACAAAACGGGTCCATTGTATGAATCCGAATCTGATAACAGAGTAAGGCACACAGCAATTGGAGACTTCAATCATTTTGGGCTGCTTTCAAAGACTTCGCAATATTTTTTAAGTCATTTGGTGAAAACCTCGTCAAATTTGTTTTAGAAGTGTCACCCATGATACGTCACGGCATCACCAGTGGCGAAGCTGAGACGAATGAATATCTGTAATATTGTATGTTACTGTTCTTTCACGATTGTTCACACTTTAAAAGCCAACAAGGTAGCTGTTATATTTTTAATCTCATTAATAATTCAGCTTGCATCAGGCAACCCACAGAATAAAGATTAGCCATCACTACGCACTATTCAGTGCTATTATGATTGAACTAGTACAGCCATAGCCTCCCCTGGTGCTATGGTACAGCACAAAGTTCAACAATGCAGGCATATGTGCTTTCTATTTGCAATGTAAATCGTAAATATAGTCCAACAACAAACGAAATTCTCTTCGAGTACAGTTTACCTACTTAGTCACCGTTCTAACCTTACAGCTACGCTACAAAACATCTTTTTTGGTACTTCAGTTATCAGAATGAAGAAACAATACCCAGTACTAAACAATGATGGTGCATGGAATGTAAGTTGAACAAGATAGAGGTTATGTAAGAAGGTTATTGTGTTTTTATAACACGGTTAATGTGTACTGCCTTACTCAGGCCATATAAAACCTAACTTTTAATATCACTGTATTTTTTATATTACTAAATATTGTTACGGGACGAAACCCTAAAGCCGATCCTATAAGAGAGCTAACATACACTCAGGTAGGGTTTCAGGGTTTACCTTAGTACATTTTTCCCTCCGGCTGACTGAAAGAGCGGTGCTGAGGTGGACGCCGAGGCCCTGTTCCCCTTGACCAAAGGTCTGGCCACTGTGTGTTCTCCTCTGAGGCCATCCCTGCCTCGGTTGTCTCCCCAGATCCAGCGGTCCTCGGCTCCCAACACCACCGTCAGGAGGCACCACGTCACCGCCACCTCTGGAAGTGACAGGCTTTGAGTGAAAGGGGATCTTCGATATAGGATCTAATCTAGGCTAAATAACTCCAAGTGACCTTGCTTTAGGCAGCAAATGTCTACTGGTACTAAGAGGGATCTGAACCCAGGATTTGACAGATGTCCTGTATATCTGACAAATATGAGCTATGACATGACTCCTTTAGCTTGTATATCTGCAATGCAGACTCATTACTGCAAAACATCAAACTAAGCTGTTAATCTACCACCTGTACAGAAAAGAAGGAACGAATCTGGACTTAGTCATATATGTATCAATAAATTGTGGTGCGTTCTTTTAGGTCTTCGTCTAAAATTTCTTAGTCTAAAATATCATTTGCAATACGTTGTAAGGCATCGAACTACATGAGGAAGTTTAATATGTTAAGGGAATATGGGGGATCAAAAAAAAGGTGTGATAAGAATTTGCCTAGTTACCTAATGTAGGCTTTGATTAACTAAACAATAACCCTGTAAATATACTTTAGAGTTGTATACATAATATTTTTACAATATACAAAATACTTAACATTTGATCAAGAATTAATAAAATATACATATCAAATTGAAGAAAAGACAGATTAGGCAGTATTATGACAGAAGGTTCCTCCATGAGGAGAGGCTAACACAATAAAAAATAAATATCTTAGAAATATCTTACTTATACAAATTAGGGCTTTTCTGCTTCTCCACTATTAGAATAAAACTCGATTAGCTTGCGTAAATATGTTTTGATTTCCCTATTCGTATTTGGGCTAAGCCTTCAACTCCTTCTACACCACAACATGGTGTGAAAGTGTAGTGGTGATCGTCCGCTACACTGAAGGCGTTACTTCTGCATTATAATCATAGCTTAAAGAGTAGACAATAATAGTTTAACAATTAAAATTAAAATCATTTCCATTTTAATTACTTAATGTGGATTCCTAAACATATTTACAATTAGTTTTGTGGCCCTAACATAGTTTTACATATGGATCAATTTATTTTTAAAACCATTTCGATTTCTGTTACATTTTGGGAATTTAGACTGTGAAACGTCAAGGCCCTTTATAGAAACCAAACTGTGGATGTTGCTAGCCAAGTGGTTAGTGTCTCCGACTTCGGAGCGGGAGCGACGGGTTCAATTCCCGCTTCATCCACAAAACTATAATGGGTTTGGACTGCTTTCCCCTAAAAGCGTATGAATTGGGTGCAACTGGCGTAGACACAAAAAAAAACGACTACGATTTGTTTCATCGACTCTAAAACTGGACCCCAAATAATTTCAAATCTTACCAAGAATGTGCAGTCATCGTAGGGAACGATAAATCAGTTTAATCCGATTTACTAGGTTTCGGTTGTATGATAATAGCGAATCTACATTCGAATGTAGATTAAACCAGGATTTTAAAATCAGGTTAAACGAGCTGTTGGCCCATCCTACGTACGGGAATCGAGTAGTCATTTAAAACTGAATATGATTCAGAACAGCTAGTTTACAAGTTGGTGGCCGATTCACACACACACTGGCTTTGAGTACAGTAGCTACATACCACTTTCTACTGCATCCTGCATACTATCACTTACCGTACCTTATTTTACCACCTTGGCCACTGAAACCTCTAAAATGATCCTGGCCTCCCGTTCTCTTCTATCCCCTGCCATTTCTGAGGAAGATACCAGTCTGAAGATGTCTTTCATTACTTAGTCTTCCAAGTGGTCGTCTACCTTGTAGTACTCCTTAGAATACACTTTTAAAAGTTGAAGTATCTTCTCTCCGCCATGCAAAGCCTGCCCAGCCCACCAGAGATCCGATCCTTTTGGTCTACTTTTGGAATGTACCCCTTTATTATTTTAAAGTGAAATAGTGTGTAGGCAAACTCTGACGATCAATATTTTTGTATACAAACAACTTGTAACATAAACATTTCAATGACAGTTAGAAACAAGCTGTTAGTTAAACCACCACTAAAACGACTTAAACTCGTCCATCGGCTGCTAGACTTTTTGAAAATTAAAACTTAATTTCTAAAAAACTGAAACCCTAAACTAAAATTATGGCTTCGACATTCCTAGTTCTCAAAATGATCTTTCTTTCAACACAAAAATCATGAAAATCCGTCAAGAGGTTGATTCAGAATCGCAAAATAAAAAAACCCTGTTACGTTTTAATTTTATAGATAGAATAGAAGATAGTAATAACCTAGTCAAACTAGAGGTAAACAAACAGCTGTTACATGTTTTTAACATCGGTGCTATTATACAAATTCAATGGCATAAGCCTCTGAGCTGAAAATTATTAATCCGAGTACTTTTAGCAGCTTTTTATGAAAATGTTCCCTTGTGGCTGGTTAAAACAATTTGTTCGTCATACTGCAGCAAAAACAGACGTTTTAATGCGTTGTGGGTTTGAAGTAGCTCTTTAACTCCCATAGGGAGTGAAAATCCCCTTTAGGCCCTAGGGAGTGTGGTAAAAGTCAGCTGTTCAACCTAATTAAATATACCATCGATATGTCTATTGAAGCTGTTGTAGTACGATTGTAAGCAATCATACGATTTTAATCGGTTGTAGCTTATTGTTGCATTATTTTTAATAGACATAGGCCTATCGATTATGTATTTAATTAGAAGTTGTATGCTATAATGTACGCTAAGACAATCGTAATAGACAAATGGTTTAATCACTAAAACAGCTTATTTCCATTAGCAAAATTTATCTCTATGCAAAGCTTTCTAACTTTGTTTGTTAAATAATTTTGCTATACCTATGACGAAAAATATAGTTCATCACAAGGGCAATTAGTGTCTTTTTAACCCTCGCTCTTTTTCCGGATGAAATATACGTGTATATAATGTGAACGGTGGTTTGCTAAAACACCTTTCTACTATTCAAAATATACTACTCATATTATGTTATACGTCGTTTCATGTGCAGGTTAGTTATTTATATTGTTTCACTAATAAAAGTAGTACCTTGTGTTGGTAAGTCTATGGTGATACTTTTAATTGAAACTAAGTTAGTGGTCGTCCAGTGGTCGAAAACTCGACCAAAAACATTTAATGTACTGGCTTCTCTATTTTCACCCCACGCTGTAAATAAAACATGTGATTGGAATTTCTTCCATTTGTTTAGATTTTCTGTTTATATTGCGTTGTTATTTTGTCACCAGAATGGCAACCCGTAAGGTCCATGTTAATTTTTCAATTTAAAATTCAATTTTTATGCTTATTTTAATTTATAAAGGGTTTCTGCACATCTACAGGAAAACGTGTTTCTAACAGTATGCGTAGATTTTGCCTATGATGCAAAAAGGTTTTTAAAGGAACATGCTTGCCTATTAATACATAGACCGTACCGGTACTTAATTTTCACGGTTATTAACTGTGCAAACAAGAGCACTTTATAAATAAAATTGATTTATTCAACTTTCTTTGTGGAAAATGTATTATGATGCTTAGTCACAACATAGTTTATTGTATTGCATAATCAATATATTGTTTATTGTTGAACTGAGGCGAACCAAAATTTGTATTATCAGGTGGTGATTATACACAGCGCGTAAGTCTATCTCTGACTAAACGTAGGAACATTATACGGTAAATGTGTGGACAGTTTTTGTTTGTATAAGATAGAGTTTACAATTACTTCTGGAATAGTTTTGTATACATATATTACTCCTTGTCCACCAAACATTATGGGAATCCAGAAAATATCATCTCCCAAAAACATTTGAACTATCTTATTTTCCATTTCAACTTCACAATTGATAATTTTAATTCATATATTGATTTACATAATCGAGTACATTCAAAAATCTTCCAACCAGCGTCTACTGAATTTCCTGTAGAGGAATTCATACGCCAATGCTTTCATTACTATACTCAGGGTATATCCCCTATACCATGCAACACAATCCGAACATATGAATCCCATGTCACACATCCATTACATACTTCAAGACATAACCTTCCATGTAAAATCCAGCAATTTCCCAATCCAACAGGACAAAGAGGATGAGTGAGCAGTGTAGAACTGCAGAAGGTCAGCTGTGTAAGGGACTTCCTGTAGGATGGACGGTGTCCAGCGTCCACGAACCACGACTGATGGACAAACAGGTCAAGGTAGTGTTGCGTTAAATCCACCAAGGACGATCAGCTGGCAAATTGTCAAGGACCTGGTCCGGTCCTTCTTGACCCAGAGTGTCAAGAAACGGACGAGTTGTTGAGAAACGATCACGGGGTTTCCCGAGTTGACAAGCTTCTTGCAGTGATAAACACTAGTAATCTTTGATAAGTTGAGTGATTACAGCACTCACTGCAAAAACCGACCAAGCAGATCCTACAGACTAAACAGTCGACTCATCAGAGAAAGATGATTTTACTTAGTAGTTTTAAGATAAGTCTGAGCTAAGTGAATATTGCAATTTCATCAATAGTTGGGTAGTTGAGTGGATAGTTCTCACATATGGAGATCCTCGATTTGATCCAGAAAATCGACAAAGTGGTTGAATGGTTTGAAATACCCTGGTTATCTGTCCTCTTCAAGCTTTGGTGGTCTTGACTAAGCAAACAAATAGTCTTTAACACTACTGATGCATCTCACTCAATTTTACATTCAACTTGCATTCATACTCAGAGTGAAATACGCGGACAAATTTATATATGTGGGCAAGTAACGAAAATGATCTAAGAATAAATGAGAGAAAACTTAATAATATTAAACCGCAAGGTCCGACGAGAAATGATAAAATTACTATAGAATTAAAATAGGAGTTCAGACGAAAATTATCTAAGAAGAAATGAGAGAAAACTTAATAATATTAAACTGCAACGTCCGACTAGAATTTATAAAATTACTATACAATCAAAATAGGAGTTAAAACCCGTAGTTACAATTTATATCACACTATTTCCGTGAGGTAGATAGATAGCCGCGTAAATAGTCCAACTATATGAACCAGGTATAGCCAATTTTTTATTCAAATATAACATGTTGTAATCATACCGTTAGATAGTAACAAGACCAGGGATGGACCGATCCCTTACAATAAACTTAAAAATTCTAAAGGCCTATGACTATAAAAATGTCGAAATATTATTTTCTGACACAACAATATCAAGACCAAAGGCCTTCAGTAGGATTCCCAGTAGTTTCCAGAGAGCACAGTGGTAGTTTCCTTGTGAAACAATTATCTCAAAAATGATAGGATACAGTCTGTCTCGGCTGTCTAACCTTTCCTGTTTCCTGGTCCGGGACTTGAAAATCATCAGCAGCACAGAACAATAATGATTCAATAACAGTTCTAATCTGTGCTATAGAGCGTCTAGCGATGTTAGGCATGTGGGGTTAAATATGACATTTGTCGCATCACATCAAAACGTAGATTTACAGCGAGACGAATGTATATTTGAGATATTTCAATTAAATACACTGAATTCACAAAATAATTACCTCTATTCGGGTTTAGCAACTGAAAATCTTAAGTTGACGAGTAAATATGAAACTACTTAGTTGGTGAACTATTCCAACAACTAGAATCAGACGTTTCATGAGAGAAAAGATGTATTGCAAATTGCAAAATAAATTTTTAACTGTACAAGCGCCTATAGTGACATCACTAGGGAAGTAAAGTGGCTCTTTTCGACCCAAACTACAGATTCACGACCGAGACGAAGACGAGGTCGGAAAATGAGCGAGAATTGAAAAGACACTTTTTAGCCCGTGCGATGAACTGTGTCTTTTCGTCACATTGCCTTATTTTTTTTACAAGAAACAGCTACAACCTATTAAATCAATCTATAAAAATTTGTTTTCTTTAACTTATCTCCCATTAAAATTCTTTTAATTGCAGAATATATTTAATGTTGTAGAGGAGAGTGTTATGTTTATGCAGCGTAATGAACTATGGAATTTAAACCTTTGGCTATTGACACAACAATATCAATACAATATTCAGTATCCAATAGTCAATGATAAAACGAAACCTTCACCAATTCACAAAATTGCAGTTTCACAGTATCTTATCCCAAAGGCGGAGGTTTTGGCCGTGGAAACGCGCAACAAAAAGTCCTCAATCAAACCTCAAGACAACAGATCATTTTGCAATCAAAGCGGCTATTGCGCCACCCAAATTGCTTCCTTTTAGACTCTACACAGGACCTAGACTGTGCGATTCTGTACAGCTTCGGCCTCCAGGAGCATAGAGACAATGAGGGGTCCCAGTATTGTATCTAGACTGAGTGAGGAAGGGGGTCGAATGGTAGGGGGGTAGTTCGAGGTATCAAAATGGCCATGTAATGTTAAATATTGCTAAAGTCTGGTACATTAAAATATTAAATTATGCCTAACATAGTTGATTGATACAACACATCAGGGTGCGTTTTTAAAAGAAGATGATTGTGAATGAGACAATGATGATACTTTGTGTCACTGACTAAGATCAGATATTTTAGACAGAACAATTTCTTGAATCATGATCATGAAGCTTTGACAGCTGAGGTCAGTTTCGAACCATAAAAACTTATAATAGGGTATTTTTTCATGATCGAGACTTGAATCTTCTGATCACTATTAGATCACAACATCCTCTAAGCTACCCAGCTTTATTAGATGTAAAGGCAACTAAGGCGTCTTGCAACCTTAAGATGAAGATGATTGTTCTTGTAGCTGAATGAATTGAATAACTGAACAAGCTATTTATTGACTATAATAAGTTTGTTTCTTTAGTCTGAACCATTTAGCGAAAGCTTAATGATCAAGCACAACTTGGCCCAGTTTCAAACAACCAAATAGCCTAATTTTCTCAGTACCAAACCGTCAGCTTTCAGAATCAAAGACACTAACCACCCGGCTAGTGAAATTGATGAAGCAACCTTAGCACAAACTTGTCTTGAACCTACTTGTGCACAATGAATTTTACTATCGAGTCCAAGTCCAAGTCCTGTTGACTCTGGCAACTTGCGCCACTTCTCTCGAAGCTCCTGCTCGCTAGGAGCATATACTTCTTGACAGCTGTGGGTCCAAGCCCTGGTAGCTCAGCTACGTGTCCAAGCTAGACGTCAACGTCGTGTTCACTTGTAGATCTGGGGGCGGAGCTGGGGGACATCCTCAGCAGTCAGCAACCCGGTCACTGATGTGCTCCCACGGAGAAACATCCGCCGCTTCTTCAAGTCTCGCTCGAAGACCGTCGATGAAGTCTCAGAGAGTTGTGAGGGCTGTAGAGTCCCTGATGACGGAGTACAGGGTGAATCTGTCACCTCACCGAGTCAACAATTTAGTCCGTAACTTTCTGTGTCTGTTTCCGTGTGGCTCATTGTTTACAAACATCGGTATCGGACCGGAGCGAAATTCGGAACTGGAGTGAAAGTGAGAGGTTACGGGAGCACTGGGCCTCTTGTGTAAGACTGCAGTGAGTGATCTGATATACAGGATGTGCAGAAGATAGGATAGCCTTCCTCTGAATTGGTTCTTACTTAACATTGAACATTTGAAGGAAACCGATGTCCTACATTTAAGTATACTATTGTTATATATTCCTTGAAAGTCATAGTTTTTTGTAACAATGTTACAGATTAAACAGACTTATCATCCTTTTAGATCGACTGAAGGTACTTCAAAAACGGATATATATAACCGATCCCCGATATCACACGGTGTGGAAATATTTGTAAAATGCTGCTGGTCCCCTTGTCAATATAAATAATGATAGCAAGCAGTTTAAAATTTACTCTACAATTATAAAGAAGCATTTACGCCCACGCACTAAATTGTTACAGTTCCAAATCGAAGCTACAGACCTCACAAGAGGGGTAGACATTTATTTGCACCATACAAAGGCAATATTTAAATTTAGCAAAATATCCAGTTTTATTTTCGAAATTTTCTTGGCTAAATCGATTAACAAGGTTACCATTGGGTGGTTTTAAGTTATAACTTATCTCTGCTGTATTTTAAAACGACGACTTATCGATTTAATTTGAGTCTTCAAACTCTAAATTTTGCTCACTGAACCCTCGTAATTTGCAAAGATTTAAAGGTTTAGCAACATTGCCAACAATTTAATATTTGTGTAAAAACTAACCTTAAAAATATGTTACCTCTTTGATGACTTACAGAAATTATCATACTGTACTTGCATTAAGCCATTAGACTTGAAAACAACACGAGAGTTTTATATGTATATAGTTTAAACCAAGCTATAGTGTTACAATGTTAGTCGTTTTTTACCACTTTTAGTATTATTTCAATTCATAGTGCAGTCTGACTGGGGGTTAAATTAAGAATCATGTATTAAATAAGTATGCATACCTATACGATTCAAATAATTCATTAACCAGCATCGTATTTTATAGTTTTTTAAAATTGTTTTGAAGACGATTAATTTCCAATAAGAAAATCCTTTTGTTATAGAGGCTATAAAAAACGATTACACTAAGTATAAGTAAATAAACAGGAATAAAATTTAATGCAGTATGATAGAATGTAGATAGATTTGTATTATTTATCTAGTTTCAGTGGTAGATTGTACTTTTTAAGCGCGTTCGAAAAAATATGATAATTTTTTTAATAACCATATTTTACACGTTTTATTGAATTTATCAAAATGATGTATCCCTCATAACTACACAGACTACTTTTACAAAAACACTAAACCATCTCCGATGCCACCAAATCTAAAGTTGATTAATAATTAACTAACTCTATTGTAACACTCGTGAAAGACTACATGATTGAGTTTCTAAACTGAAGACCTAGTAAACTAAATTGTATCCATCAACCACACAGTTTTAGACATAAAAAATCATCGGTAACAAATTCAATCTCAAAACAAATATATTACCAGATAAATTTAAAAATGTTCCGATTTTCTAATAAAATGTTATCTTTAAATGTCTGTATTACGGCATTTAATGGTATCCACACCAGGTAAGAACCCTTGGCTACTTACTAGATATCATGGCGCTGCTGGAGGTATCAATGAGGTATCGGTCCCCGATTAACCCCCCCCCCTCCCCCCCTGGAGGGGACCGTGACCCAGATATCCAGCCTTGTAGACCGGACGCGGGGGTGGTGCTATCCCTACCCTTTAACAAGTGAATCACTGCTGTATGGTATCAGGGGATTTCCCTGAATCGAGACAAAGTTTTAAGGTAAAAATTCCTAGTTTTACAGTTTAATATTTAGATAGTTTGGTAGATGAGAGGTTTCAGTGCTCACCTACTATATGTACGTCCGGTTCGTAAGCAAAGTAACTTTTTGATGGTTCGAATATGTGTACAATTCAAATTCTGTTGTATTGTGTGATTTGCTAGTATACTGTGGCTTGTTATAAGCATACAGAAAGTAAATAAAACTACGTCTAAACACTTAAAATATATATAAATGTACGCTTACTGTTGACTCACAAGTTTTCAAGAGTTTTTCTAATGATTTATTGAAAAATAAAGATTGTTCTTTAACTCTGTTGATAGTAAAACCCAAAGTAAAAACTCCACAACAAGACGGTTAATGCATATTAAAGATGGTAGGTGGTAATCGATTTCGGTTGTACACTCCAACCATCATCAGAACCTATAGGATGTAAATATGTTCCCAGTGTTATTAGACGTATTTGTATTTACTTTCTGTAAATTCAATAATACGTGCAATGCTGATCAAGAAGTTAAGTTAATTTAAGTTATAAACATACGTTACAAGTATTTTTGTTTACTTTTCCTTATTATCTTTTAAAATTAACATAGGTTGGGTATTAACAATTAACATAAAGAAAATAGAAATCGAACCATTAATTACAAAATGGCAGATCAAAATTACTTTTAATAAACGTTGTCTTAATAATTTTTAGCTGCCTTTTTGTTATTAATAGTCCGATTTTAATTTTCGTTATTTTAATTTTTATGTTTCGTCAATACCTGTAAAATGATACCAAACTTGACTATACTTGCTATTAGAAAACTTTGAGCTAAACATGTCACAAAAACACACTTCATTACTTTCCCCGTAGCAGCAAACCAAGGTATCGTACTCGTTAAACCTAATTTGATTTAAATAGGAGGGAATAAATCTTCATTTTTAAGGAATATTTTGGTGAAAATCCAATCTGGCAAGTGGAAAAATGTTTAGTGTATGTCATGAAAGGTAAAAGGGTATAATTATTGGAAAATGTCAAAACCCCCATGGCACTTGACCCAATCGTGCTGGTACAGTACGCTAACTCGTCTTAGTGCATCCAGTCCTACACTTTCATGCCAAAATGTAATCAGATTTTTACACAAACATATCTTCTATAGTATTATTAAAAGATTTTTTTAAAGCTCTTATCCTCTAGATGTACCTTTGGCGGGTTTGGATTATATCCCGTGAAATCCCTTCGTCCTATAGGCTTTTAAAATTTCTTAGTTTGAGCTTAATTCTGTTGTCAATCATTTGAACATTTTCAAGTTGCATTTGTTTACATCTAAACAGATGGCTATTGATACATTTTTGTTTACATCCATACGAAAATGGGGTTATCTGTGTAGTTGGTGATGTTTCAGTGAATTCAAGTAAAATTTTGTAATGTTACATGAAAATAATAGGCCTCGAAATGCAAATAATAGGGATATGATGAGAAATAATCGTTTTCACACTTTTATCAACTATATCAAATATATCAGGGATTTAGAAGTCACGAAGTGACGCAGGTTGCTAGTATATTTTAATGAATAGTGTTTTTTGCCTCTTTTGGGACATCTTATAAAAAAAGCTGTCCCGGGTGTAGGTCTTTACGTGCCACCTTGCCACCTACGGTAATATAGCTCCTTCCCTATAGGGGAAATTCACTAAAATCGATCTGTATCAAATTCAAGTGCTATCATCTCGAATGTAACTGTTACTTTTCATGTAACCGCTCCAGGACGTTGCGCAACGCGGCCTCATGTACGTTCGCACATACATTAGCGAAAATCGAGGTTAGTAAAATAGTGATTGTGGTAAACTGACCTCAAGTTTCACAGTTTTAGAAGAATGGTTGCAAACATGGAAAATAAAAGTGAATGAGAGCAAATCTACTCATGTGACCTTCACTACCAGATTAGGTACTTGTCCTCCTGTAACCTTAAATAATGTCCAAATTCCGCAATCCCACGATTATGTGAAATATCTCGGCATGACGATTGACAAAAGATTAACCTGGAAAACCCATATCTGGAATAAAAGAATGTACCTAAATTTAAAATTTAAAAATCTTTCCTGGCTCCTAAATAGTAAATCAAAATTGACCATTGCAAATAAATTATTACTATACAAAGTAATACTGAAGCCAATTTGGACTTATGGAATCCAACTGTGGGGAACGTCCAGTATGTCGAACATAAACATTATCCAACGATTTCAGTCAAAAGTTTTAAGGTTCATTCTGCAAGCCCCGTGGTATGTTAATAACAATATCCTTCACAAGGACAGTGGAATTCCTACGGTTGAAGAGGAAATAACCAAATTTAGTGCAAAATATCTAAAGAAACTTGAAAATCACCCTAATCACCTGGCTCTAAACCTCTTGGACAACAGTACCAGTATATACAGGCTAAAAAGGATTCATGTTTTGGATCTAAGCACACGTTTTGTTTGAACAATTTAATTTTCCCTTGTTTATTTACATATTTATGTTTTCATTGAAATATTTTTAAGTTAGCTCTGTCAATGGACAGAGATTAACTAACGTTTTATTAAAATTTGTTCATTGTATTTGCTAAATGTTCTAAAAATGAACAGATTGTAAATAAAATTGTGATAAAAAAAAAAAAAGTTTCACAGCTAGAGGAGACAGCTGATCGCATTCAGCGTAATTCTCTAAGAAAGGAAATACAGTATAATCAAGCCCTGTGTATCAATTGGAAGTGGAATAATTATTGGCCTATAAAATCCGGAGTAAAGTACAGTAGTAGCATTATTTACCCGTCTCCCGTATAATCAGTGATGGTAGTAGCTACCAATATGACTGAGTTTTCAGCGTAGTTGGTACAATGATTTTTGCATGATGGAAATTCAGACAGACACGGCATTTTTATGATAGTATAAGATGTATATAGATAAAAAGTTAGGTTAAACAATGTCCAAGCTATAATCTCAGAGAAAAACGCATTTTTGTTAGTTGATTGTTTATGGATTGCTTCATGAACTTTGGTCACTTTCTTGATTTTTTTTCTTAGCAACAACTCTAGATACTAAATGAGCCAACAGTATATTTTATGTTTTTATCTAACTGCAAATTTCCTTTTAAACCTATTTGATTAAACACTCGGCCAAGGAACTGTTAAAATGTTTGCGGGATTGTTTTGACGATATATTAAAACCTCAAATATGAGTATGTATTTAGTTGTCTGTTCATAGTAAAGCCATACGGGGAGCGCTTAAAACAATCACCTGGCTTCAAGAGCTACCATAGAGTAGTGAGGTTAATTATTACTTCTCTGTAGAGCTACCGAAATTTTGCCGTGTCGGCCGACAGAATGAGGTTCACCAACTCACAATAATTTAGACAACTCCTAACTCCAATAGTATAATATCATAGATAAATCATACGTGTTGCTTAGTCTATGATAATATTTAAATAAACATAGCAATTCCTGTACTCAGATGTTAAATACACCTTGTTTCACGAACTCCAATGGTATTTATATATCAGCATTGACTAGGCAATCATGTTTCTCCTCATCTGGTGTACATTGCACGAAAAATCTATGCATGTTGGAAAGATATTTTCCTGTAGATGTGCAGAATCCCTTTATAAACTAAAATAAGCTAAAAAATAAGCACAAAAAATACACATACACTTAATATACACTTGATATACACTTAATGAAAAATAAACATAATACCCCCGCCGCAGCAAACCTGCAGACTTTCCATTAGAATTTCCATTGACATCCATTAGCAAATTTCCATTTGCCTGATTGGATTTACACTATAATGTCTCCTTAAAAATATCACATTTATTCCCTATTTAAACAGAATTAGTTTAATGAGTACTTAGGTTTGCTGCAACAGGGAGGGTAAAAAAGTTTTTTTATGTAAAATGTTAAAAGGTACCTACTGTAGTTTAGTAAGAAATTAATGTATTTTCCAAATTTGATCAAAATATGTTGATAAACAAGCAAACTACAACCAGTTGACTTATTCTCCATAAAAATAACATGGGAATTTAAAATTACAATTTTTTTGAATTTTCTCCGTAACAATTAGGCGCATAATAACGCTTAAATATACTAAATTATTTGTTTTTTAAGCTCTACAACATGGTTTAGAAAGAAATTGTAAAATTTTGCGTTTTTAGGGTCAAAAATGGGAAAAACCTATTTTTACCCCATGAAACCCCCCATAAACCCCCGTTAACATAGTCCGATCATGCTGGTTCGCGAACTCATTTAAGTTTATCCCGCCTTACACCTTCAAACCAAATTTTATCAAAATCAGACAAAAATTACTCAAGTTATTGTGCGGATGGACACATATATATAGATATATAAAAATTTGAACGAATGGTGTTTTTGGCCTCTGGGGACATCATAATGAAAAAGTAAATTGGTCCCGGGCCTAGGTCTTACCATGAAACCTATGGTAATAGCTACTTCCCTATAGGGAAATTCGCTAAAATCAAAACAAATGGAAGGAATTTCAATTACATGTTTTATTTACAGCGTGGGGTGTAAATAGAGAAGTCTGTAGGGTACATTACATGTATTTGGTCGAGTTTTCGACCACTGGACGAAGCTGAGCGTTTCACGAACTCCACCTGAGTGGAGTGGGCCCAGTGGGGTGAGAAGTCGCGGAGAGTCATAAGCACCTTCAAACGACCGCAGCTATTTAAGCATAGTGTATTTTATTGGCATCACTAATCATCACTTGAAGGTCACTGTAGCTTTCCTAAATCTCACATTTTTAAATTCACATCAACATCAACACTGCTGAACATTCTTTTAATTAGGCAA